AAAAGGAAGGGAGGGAGAGAGGGAGGGAGGGAGGAAGGGAAGGAGGAAGGAAGGAAGGGAGGGAGGGAGGAAGGGAGGGAGGGATCTGACTATAACTCTAACAAAGGCCTCCCCTGACTCATCAGGGGCAAAGCCTGCCTAGGACAGGGGTGCAGGGATGCCTGGCTGGCCCCCATTTGGCCCTTGGCTGCCTACATGGCTGGAAGCAGGCATCTTGCTGCGGTGGTGGATTGGCAAAGCAGCCTCCTTTCATTCCATGGCTTGCCTTTCTGCCAGGCAGCCGGAACCGTCACACACCACTCTGTTCATCCAAAAAAACAAGTAAATAAGGCAGCAGGGAGAGACACAGCTTCACTAGGTCACCAGCCCACCTCCTGCTGACTCACGGTGGAGAAGGTGGAGCCTGCACTCTGAACAGGGCCCTCTGGGGTCACCATGGCTGGCCTAACATCAGGCTGTGCCCCCAGAGATTCTGGGTCTCCAGCCTCAGTGGAGATGTGACAGCTTTTCTGGCTTCAGACAGCTTCCTAGACATGAATATGGAATGACAGTACAGACCTCTTGTGTCCCTAGCCTCAACTCTTGTTATCACCTGAAGACCTCATCAACTTGTTTCTGGTCCCTCCCTTATTTTACCCAAGGGTCTTTGAGACCGATATGACACTGGTGTGGCAAAGGCCCTAGATGGTAGGACAGGTGGATTCTCACTATAAGCCTACCCTGCAGTGACCTTCTTTGGTTCTGTGCCAGGCTATCACCCTGACTTCTGCTTCCAACGACTCATCCTCCAGTCACCCCTGTGCTACTGACCCCACCTGGAAGCCAAGCCCTACATGGCAGCTCCCTGGGCCTTGGTCGTCCCCACAAAGTCCATGAACCTGGAAGCAGGACAGAGGGCTCTCATGGATCCCTTAATGGGATTTGCTTCCTTCACAGACCACATTCTGGCTTCTGTGAACTGATTAGGTACTCAGAGGCCTCATCCTAAGAACAGGGTTCTGTGATACAAAAAGGATTCCAGTTCCAGCCAATTGAGAGGCCCTGACCCTGGCTGGCAAGCCCTGTCCTATCTGGGAGGCCAGGCCTAACAAGGTCCTACCCCTGTCCCCTCCTCCTGTGCAAGGAGTCTGCCCAGAGTTACCCTTCCTGCCACCTGTGTCTACCCTACTTTGCTTCTACATCCAGCTGCTTCATCTCCCTTAGAAGAGGTGCTAGCTTGGTGGTGAGGAGCAGGGCCTCAGCTGTCCAAATGGGCTCACCTCACATCCTCAGAGGGCCATGCTCTCATCTGTGGAAAGGGGGTATCAGGAAGGTGGCTACTTACAAAGGAGGATGCCCTAGGACAGCAGACCCCACATCTGTCTGCAGAGTGTGCAGACATCTGGCAGGTAGAGCCCAGGAATGGTCCTACAAGGCATAGGCCTAGGTGATCTCACAGCGAAGAATGACCAGACCCCAGCATGAGCAGTCCCTGCCTGGGACTCTCCCCTAAGGTATGCCTATATCAGAAGACTCTTCGGAATTCCTCTTCTCCTTATGTGTCAAATAAACTGTGGCTGGGAGTCCCTATGGCTTCACAGCAGGATGAACAGACAGCATAGAGTCATGGATGCTGTACCCCAGGTGTGCTTCTGAAGGCCAAGGAATAAAAACTCAAGCCAAGCTTTGGAGAATCACTGTTCCCACTCCCTCTGGGGGAAGGCCCTTGTACTGGCAGCCAGAAGCTACAGTCAGGTCCCTGTGTCTACATTGTGGGAAACCCTGTGTGAGCAGATTATAGAAACCTGTGGGTTTCTAAGGGAGGCTCCCAGACCCTAGGTGCCAGACCTTGAGGAAGTGTGGCTATGGGGCTTTCATGAGCTCCTGTGGCACCCTGAAATGCCAGCCGCAGTCCTGTACTACACTTCTCCCTCGTGGAATTAGCCCGTGGTCTCACAGAAGGCTTAGGCCAAATTCCAGGCTTGGTTCCAGCCCTGCTGTGATGGACTGGGGGCTTGCTGAGCTACTTCACACACAGGATTATTCCAAGGCCCAAGCAGATGGCAGGATATTCAGGGGGAAGCACCATGCATCTGAGAAAGGAGCTCTCAGGAGCTGGCCTTGGTGGATGGAGGAGGGGTTTGGATGGTAGTCAGAGAGTCTGCATCTCCTACCCACCCAAAGGAAACAGGCTCCTTCCCCAGCCTGAGCAGAGTCTGGTAGCGAAACCTCAAGCTCTATCATCAGATAGAGGTAGAGGCTCCACTTCTCAACCCTGCTCCAGCACTACCATGGACCTTATCTACAGGCACTGCACAATACCCCTATCCAGCCTATTACTCCTACCAGGGGAAAAATGCTTCAGCAGCAGGACTCAGCTTTGTGTGTCCTGGGAAAGTATTTGAAGCTTCCCAAAATGGCAAGGAAAAGAAGAATGCCTGACCATTGACCTTTTTAGAGATACTAGTCTACAAAGCTGGAGAAAGAAAGAAAGAAAGAAAGAAAGAAAGAAAGAAAGAAAGGAAGGAAGGAGGGAGGAAGGGGTGGGAGGAAGGAGAGAGAAAGGGAGGAAGGAAGTGGGAAGAAGAAAGGAAGGAGAGAAAAAAGAAGGAAGGAAGGAAGGAGAAAGAAGGAAGGAAGGAGAAAGGAAGGAGGAAGGAAGGGAGGGAGGGATGAATGGAGGCCAGAAAATTGTGAAAGTAAGCCTGGCATCAAGGCCCCCTCTGTGACTCCAGGCCTAGCATGCAAGTTCTGGGGCTATCCTGTGAATTCTTGCTTCGAAAGCAAGGAAGAAGGGATACAGAGTGATTGCTTCCAAGTGGCATGATTGGAAACAGGAGAGAAACAATTGAAAAAGTGTTCCAAAAACTGGGGAGGAAATTCACAAATAAAGATCCCTAATTTTTATCATCTATAGTCAGAAGAGTAAAGGGGAAGAGACTATTTCTGACAGCAACGTGAAAAGAACAAGCTAGAAACAAGTGCAGATGACACATACGACTTGCTTATGAAGAAAATCAAAAGCATTACAAAAGGAAATTTGAAGGCCTGGACTTAGCTCAGTGAGGAAACACTTGCCTAGAAAATTTGAATCAGTGGGCAAAGAGGCTGTGTGTTCTTTTTTTTTTTTTTTCTCCAAGACAAGGTTTCTCTGTGTAGCCCTGTCTGCCCTGGAACAAACTCTGTAGACCAGGCTGGACTTCAACTCAGAGATCCACCTTCATCTGCCTCTCAAGTGCCAGTGGTGGCGCCACCCACCACTAGTGAGACTGTGTGTTCTTGAGTAGAAACAGTAAACATCCCTCATCCCCCAAATAAAGAAAGAAAGAAAAAAGAATATCACAAAGCATTGTTTCTTATATGAAGCTGTAACTCGGTAACTGCAGTAGTAGAGGATACTAATAGGATTTTGGCTTTGTTTTGATGGGGGAGGGGGAGCAGGAGCCTCATTTAAGCAAGTTCTAAAACTCAGGTGCTAAAGAGCCCGGGATGATTAAACCACAGAAACAAGAAGACAGATCAGAAGTTAGCAGCTCGAACAGTGTCACACCAGCATATTACATGGGTCAATCAGTGAAGGCCACAGAGCTATGATACTCAGCAGACAGAAGAAGGCAGACAGGCCAGGTGGTATTGGTGCACGCCCAGCACAGGAGGCAGAGGGAGGTAGCTCTCTGTGAGTTCAAGGCCAGCCTGGTCTACAGAGTGAGTTTCAGGACAGCCAGGGAAACACAAAGAAACAAACAAACAAAAAAACAAAACAAAAAGACAGACATTCAGCAGGGACATAGGCTTTGTTGGCCTTGGAAGGTGAAATGGTTCTCACAGTCTCTGGTGCTTGAACAAACATATAGTCCCCAGCTGGTGGCACTGTTGGGGAAATCTGTGGACCGACTGGGAACCTTGCTGCAAGAGGTGAGTCTAGAGTGTGGCCTTCGGACTTTATAACCTGGGCCCACTTCCTCTTCGCCCCCTGCAGGTACAATATGACCAGCCAGCTTCCTTTCTTCTGCTACACTTTCCCTGCCTGCTGCCATGTGTTTCCTGCCGGGCTGGCTGTATCCCCAGGAACCATGAGCCAAAATAAGCCCTTTCTCCCTTAGGTTGCTTTAGTCATGGTATTTTATCACAGCGATGTGGAAAGAAAGTAAGACACTCCCTGTGTGGAACAGATGATGATAATAAAATCCAGTTCTTGTTGGAAAACTTACATCAGAACAAATCTGACCTAAGCAACAGATCAGAGGCTGGGAGGGAAAATCCAAAACACAAAATAGAAGACATAGGAGAACTTTCAATGATCTTAGAAGGAAGGTCTTTCTCAATAAGGGCCAACATTAGCCACCATGAAAAAAATTAATAGTTGTCCTGTGAACATAAGACTGTTAAGCATGTGCAAAAAAAAAAAAAAAAAAAAAAAAAAAAAAAGGAAAGGCACACTGAAAAACATTTGTGTCATTTATCCTTCATATATAAAGATTTCCTGTTAAAAAATACAAGAATGTAATAGACGAGAAATGCCAAACCCACATCAACAGCCAGCACACAAGAAACTCGATGACCCTGAACACAGTGAAGGGCGGTCAACTCCACTCAAAGATGTGTGTGCCACTTTGACCCTCCTCTCCGTACAGCCCCCTGCAGCTCTGCCAGCAAATCCCTCTTGAAGACCTGACCTCAACATGGTACCTCCAAGGGATAGATCTCCGCATCAATGCTATTACCAATGCTATTGGATGAAAACTAAATACACGAAGCCAGGAAACAGTTCTGGTAAATTCTAAGCTTCACAGACTTGATCCCACTCTATTTCTGCAGCAGGACTCCCAGGCAGACACCCTACCCATTTCTCAGGTGGGAACAGTAAAGCTCCGAGAGTCAGGCCGGGAACCTAAGTTGCCTGAAGTCTTTGCAGGCAACCTCCTTCTAGGCCTGCCTTCTTGAACATGCTGTCTTGAGCATCCCAAGGGTAGGGGTGGGCAGTGGCTAGAGCAGTTGGTGGGGACTGGGATGGTACTCACTTGTGCATGTAGCCCTCGGGGCCAGCCGTGAGGTTTGCCTGCATGACCGCCTGGAACTCTGTCTCGTTGCAGCAGTATTTGAAGACCGTGTTGTTATGGTGACAGCAAAGGACGAAGGTCTTGTTGTCTGAGAGCCGGGGACAGTGGAAACCGAAGTGGTAGCGGCCTTTGTGGTCTGTGTAAGGCTCACAGACCCGGAAATGTGCGGACAGGACTGGAATACAGAGACACCAGGTTCACCAGGGTCCCTTTGGCAGCCTACAGGTGCCAAGCAGAAGGGACCAGCAGCCTGTTCTAGGGTCCTGTTGTCTTCTCCCTTCCCTAGAAGTCTTCCTGCTCCAGGAAGGGTCTCTCCTCTACCCCAAAGCCTCCTGGACCCCTGGTCCCCAGCTCTGTCACAACAACAGCGCTACTATCCCAGGCTGAGTACACCTTGGGGCTCCTTGAAGCTCACCCATAGGTGGGTCCCCTCCTGCATCTCAGCCCTTAGTGACCAGGCACCTATTCTGTGTATCAGGAACCTCCCGACTCAATCCACGTGGTCATCGTAGCAGACAGACTTCTGATGTCATTTCATAGGTAGAGAAACTGAGAGGTCTAAAGGACTTGATGTAGTTGGTCAGTGGAGATCACAAAGGACTTAAACAAAGCTCCTGCAATCTCCTGCCCCTTCCCCACATTAGCTTGCTTCAGAGTAGGTTGGGTATGAGCCAGGCTTTCCTCAGTGTCAGCCTACATACAGGCACAGGACCTAGGGTCCACCTGTATTGAAAATGCCAGTTCCTCAGTACCTCACATTCTAGGAGTTGTTGCCCCAGACCCAAGCAAGGTCCTATCTGGGCCCCACACATACAGGGCTGTGCTGGCCCCAGATCCTCCTCATCCCTGGCCCACAGAAGGAGGCCCTATTCAGGCTCTGCTGCAAACCAGGATGAACTGATGGTGATAAACAGGACTGAATGTGAACAAAGCAACCATGGAAAAGCTGGAAAGGCTGTCTCTGGCTTAATTAGTATCTTCATAAAGGGCTCACTGTATCTAATTTGTATCACTGAAAAGGGGCTTCTTGGCTCAGGCATCTCCCAGGCACAAAGGCCCTGGCTTCTTAGAGCTCGCACAAGAAGCCCTATCCGTTGAGAGGTTATTAGATTACAGCCCACACAGTGCCACCACAGGGGAACCCAACAGGCCAGCTGGCAGGGTGCTGGCACCCTGAAAGCTGGCACATAGGCTGGCTCCAAAGGCCTTTTCCTGAAGGATAATTCCTCCTTCTGTGGACACAAGCGGGAAGGTAGTATCTTTCCAGGCTCCAGCCCACTCTTGTTCTTGAACAGAGCCCTGCCTAGGGATGCAGAGGCCTTAGTGTGATGCCCCAAGGAGACATACCACCAAGTCCCATCTACTCCATCCAAACAGAAGAGAAAAGCAAGACTCAGAGCCATGGCTCACCAAGCATGCTAATCAGAATGGAGCCTTTTTGATGCCTCCGCAGCACAGAGTTCTGGGGAATCGTGTGTGGGGGGTGTTGATCTATTTTGCCCCTGCCACAGGGATGTCCATGTACGTGACTTGAAGCCCTCTTGTGGCTCTGTGTGCTCAGTGTGGGCACCTGGGGATGCTGGACACACCTAGAGTGTCTGCTGAAAGACCAAGCCTGGCTCTGGGACTGCCATGAGATACAGCACACAGCCAAGGGCCATTAGGCCCTTGCAGAGGCAACTGTGAACCCAGAGGTGAGACAGGCAGGTTCTGTCCAGGACCCAGCTCACAGCCCCACAGCCTTTCTGGATGCTCTGGCCACCAGCCTTAGTCATTTGCCAGTGACCAGAAAATCCTGCCACTTTCCCAGAGACAGAGGAGCCCTGGACTGGGACCAAGATGGTTGGGCAGGAGCCCTGGTGGAGGATGATACCCCAAACTCTTAGTCTCCTCCCTCCTCCTCCCCTTGTTGGAGAAGGAGCAGTATCCCTGTGGTGCTCTTTGCACACTTCCAGGTGCAGGCTCACTGCCTCCTGTTCTGGTAGGTTTTAGCATCCCAGCACTTGCATGAAGCATGGTGAACCCCAGCTCTGGAGTCAACAGTCTCTACTTGTGTTACCACTACCCACTTGCCTTCTCTGATAACAAGAAGTGACTGGTTCTTCACACCCAGGATGATGAGGACATGAAGAAGATCTGGGGAGGTGAGGGCCAGCCCCTCCATCACAGAGACAAGAGCTAGGGAGGTGAGGACCAGCCCCCCCCCCCCCGCATGGCATGGAGAAGAGCTGGGGCGGGGGAGGCTCCAGACTCTGGCCTCAGCTTAGCCTCTTCTCTGCTCTCCTGGGAGTCCTGTCCCCACCCCAGCCCCTTCACAATGTCTTTCTGAGCTACATACACCCCAAGCAAAGAGTGAAGGAAGGAAGCTTCCAGTCCTGAGCAACAGCTTGGCCACAGTGTGGGAAGGTTCAGAGAGAAGAGAGAAAGAGCCACACACAACAGACAGAGACATGAGATTGAGAAAGAGATATAGGAGAGACATATGCAAGAATCAGAGAGACACATAAGAGAGATACACAAAGAAGTGGGAAATGTACAAAGAAACAGCATGGCACAGAGACAGGAGAAGAGAGAGTGAGACAAAGGCAAGAGCTTCTGTGCAGGACCAGACTCCACTAGGTCCTGCCTGGCCAGCTGCGCTGTCTTTGTTCTTGACTCCGCTCTAGTTTGGAGGCACGGAGGGTCTGGTTTCTGTGAGCCCAAGCTTGCTTGCAGTATCAGTCCAGGGACTGATTGGTATCAGGAGGGTGTGGCTCCCGTGCCCTGGGTCTGAATCCTAGCCCCTCTATTAGCTCTGTTCTCCACCCTCAGTTTCTCACCTATCAGTAAGGTAGATTGGCATTACCTACTTTTGACTTGCTGAACTAGAGGGACCAATCTGAGTGCAGACTCCTGAGAGCCCCATTGCCTCCAGCATCCAATAGCTCATCCCCTGATGGGGGACAATATCAGGAGACTGAAGTACCTTTGCCCAGCTGCAGCCCTGCTCTGGAAGGGACCCCCACTCCCCCTTAGCCACTGAGCCCTACAGAGGTTTTACCTGCAGGAAACAGCAGGGAGAATACTGCGAGCAAGTTCCAGGACCGCTGGCCACAACTGGTCATCATCCGGCTGGCATTGACCCGTCCGGCGCTGCCTGTGTAAGACACAGAGAGTCTCGGCAACTGTCTCCCCACACTTGCTTTGTTGCCCGCAGAGGAGGGACAGCAGACAGGCAGCAGCCGACAGGAGCTTGCGGGGAGAGCCGGGGCGGGCGAATGGAGGATGGAAACACCTCCATCCAATTTCCTCTCTGGAATGAATGACCTTCCCCCAGCAGCCCCGTCACCTCCTTTGCTTTTCACGGCAAAATGAGACTTAATCAAAGAATGCCGATGGCTCAGGTGGTGAAATCACCATTCAAGTGTCCAGCAGGAGGGGGGGAGGAGGAGTCCACTACCCTGCCCCCCTGCTGAGTCTCTGAGGGTGATTTCCATTAACCTTTCTGCACACAGACACTGGCCAGTCCACCCTCCTAGGCACCAGGCACACAGCAGCCCATTAAAGAGGAAGCCAATGGTGGAGAAGGAAGCCTTCTTTGATGGTGTGTGTCCCAGGGTGGAAACCACAGCACTCACAAGCAAGCAGGGGACAGTGCTGAGGAACTCGGAACACATCAGAGGTTCCACTGTATACTCACTCCCCCCACACCCACAGTCGTTATTTGCAGCAGCCCAAATAACCCAAGTCTCCACAGACATGAGGGTTAAACCAGACATATGTATATACATGGTGGAATATTACTCAGCCTTAAAAAAGGAAGGCAATGAGCTGGGGGATACGGCTCAGAAGTAGAATGCCTGTCTAGCATTTGCAAGGCCCTGGGTTCAATTCCCACTAGTACCAAAATGAAAAGAAGAAGGCTCTGAAACATTCTACGATGTGGAAGAATTTGCTGGGCATCCTGTTTGGTAAAATAAGATAGATCCATAAATACAAGCTCACTCTCACTCAGGGTCAAATGCTTAGAATTGTCATATCTGCAGAAACAGGCACCTGGAACTTGGCTACCACAGTTTACATGGTGCATAGGTAGGCTGTGTACACCTATCTTTGCCATTTTCGGGGTAGATTTCTGCCCCATCATATGGTTCTAGAGTCTCCACAGCAAGGATCAGCTTCTCAAGGATAGTCAGGGACAATGCCCAAGTACAAGTCAAAAATACAGTTCAACATGAAAAGGGCCATGCTCAGTCCATAGAGGGGTGCCTCTCTCTCACCCCACACTGTCCCCGACCCTTGCTCAGCTTTCTGCAGCCAACTTGGTGCCACCCTGCCCTCAGGGACTCTCCACCTAGTCACAGAGCAAAGAAGGGACCCAACTCAAGCTTCACCTTGTACTCTGCCTACTTAGGGATCAGTCAGGGTTGGCTGAAGACCACTAGGGTTATGTGGAGGTTGGCAACTGGCTCTAGAGTTGGGCATATACGTGAAAGAGCCTTCTCCCAGTAGCCTGGGGCTTGGGATATATATGGAACAAGCTTGCCTATCAGACAAATGTCACCAAAGTCAACACTGTGGTGGCATGGCCCCTCTAGGCCTGGGGAGGGCCCCTTTGCACCCCTTCCTCAGCTTAATTGCTCTGAGCTTGGCCTCCTGCCCCTGCTGGGTGGAAGAGCAGAGATTAAGGCTTCTGAAAGCACTTAGGAGAGGATTTCCATATGGAATGCACTGGGGAGGAAACACCTCTGAAGTACCAGCCACCAGGGTGGGGGGTTCTCACACTACAGGTTTAGAGAAAGAGAGGCCTGGGAGGCTGGCTGGGTGTTCAGGTGCCCACTCCTCTTCTGGCCTGTGAGGGCAGGGCTGCCCTACAGCTGACTCTGTATCAAGGAGGAGCTGGGGGGGAGAGGTTAAATCTAAGAGCTACCCAGCATCCACCTCAACCCACCTCTTAGCTTTCACTCCCAGCAAAGACCCAGTGTACCCGCTGATGCTGAGGCTGTCATTCATGCTGGGGTGAGTCCAAGTCCTGACACCTTGGAGTCACAGACAAACTGCCTCCACTGCCAAGTCTGCCCTTTTTTCAACTTGCCCCTCAACTTAGACCTGTGGAATCTCACACTCTCCTGACGCCAATGTGTGAATTCACTTACTCCCCTGATAGGCTCTCCTCCATCAAAGTGAACTCAAAACTCCTGGAGCATCCAGGGCCTGTGAGGCCTTCTGGGGAATGCATGCCACTGGCCTCCTTTGAGGTGTGTGCTCCTGTATCCCAGCACTTTGAGGGCTGACCAGGCCCTGGAGTTGGGCTCTGAGCTCACGGAGGAGGAAGTCATTGTCCAAGGGGAGGCTGTTCCTGGTATCCACAGCTGGACTTTAAGGGTTCATCCTTGGGTTCCTTTGCTAGGACCTGACTGCAGGGGGCTTAGCTTAGGGTCTCCAGGCTCTGTGGGAACCCTGGCCCTACAAGATCCCAGCCTCAGGTCCTCAGGCCTCTCTGGGAAGGTGGCACGCTGCACTTCACCCTGTGGTCCCAGCGGTTCCTGCCCATGCTAAGTGACCATCTTCAGCTTCATAGTCCAACTGAGTGCTCAGCCCCCACCTGAGTCTGGCCTCGGAGAAATTAAACCAGGATTGAATGCCCCGGTGGGGAGGGAGCACCAGGCTGTCAAATAATCCAACCAAAGTGACATCTGCTGGATTTCACGCCACTGGAGAAGGGAGGGACTGAAAGATGTCTTGCCCCCCCCCCCCGCCCCGTCCTGCCTCTGAGGGCTGTGACACTCCTACAGGTGGCTGCCTTATGCTGGGTAGGTCTTCACTGAGCATGCTCACACATCATCATATCATCTCAGCTAATTTTCACACTAACCCAATACTGGCAGGCCAGTTCAGCAAAGAGGAAATGAGGAAATGAAGGCTCAGAGAGGTGGGGTGAAGTGCCCAGTCTCACATAGCCACTCAGACAGGAGGCAAAGAGCATTCTACCTCTAATGCCAAGGCAGTATGGTGTGGCCTGTGAGGCCTCCCAGGGGACACATGGTGCCGGCTCATCTGAAATTTATCCTTGTGTGTTCTAGCACTTTGAAAACTGATCATCTGCCTAAGATGGTAGCTTGGCTGCCAACAATAAAACCCCCGGGTAGTAGAAGAGTGACGTGGGACTTCACTGCCTGAGCTTTGACAGGGTCCAGGATCATGTTCGGCACGCACTACCATGGCCCATAGTCTCCTAGGGTCAGCTGGGGACTGCTGCTCTGAGATTTCATCGTTATTTTTAAACACCGAATTTGGTGAGGCTGGAAGGGGAGGAAGAAGGGCATGTGAAGAGAAACAGGCCTTGGTGAGATAGATGAGACCCCACAGCCAAGAATGGATCTGTTTTCCCATCATCAGCACTCTGTAGGGCAAGGGCATGGTGAGCAGGGCAGTGGGGCAGGAGGGAGCTAGGAGATACTGGAGGGCCTCCTCAATGGCCCATGGCCTGGGCACTGAGCAACTTCTGCTGCTTCCTGCCGCCCATCTTCAGTCCTGATATCAGCCTGTTGGGTGTGGGGACAGTGTCCTGATGGCCTAGAGGGTAAGGGTCAGCCAGGCTTGCAGGTGGAGTCCTCAGGGCCAGCCACTCTGTCTGGGGCTATTTTCTGGCTCTGACACCTTTTTGAAACAACTACAGGTCTAGTGACTGGGAGAGTCACCTCCAGTCTCCTACCCCCCACCCCCAGAACAAGGGATGAAGCGGACTAAAGTCACAGTTACTGTGCTGTCCCAAGACTTCCTGTGGCATGAAGCCCTCACATCAGCATCACCCACCAACCCAGCTCCCAGGCAGCCGCTAGCCACCACTCACCCACCTTAGAGGTCAAGGCCTTGCTGGACGCTGGGGCCTTGGCTCTGCCTTGTCACCCCATACCACCGGTTGCATAGATTTCTGACTCCAGGGCCTATGGGTCCCCTGAACCTTTGCAGGTGCCACCTCCCTACACCAGGGCCACCCTCCTGACGAGGGCCAGAGGCTCCATAGGCAGAGTCCACTTACAACTTTCCTTCCAAACCATACCTCAAAAGACCCCCAAAATGGTGCTCCATCCTAACTGTCCAGATGCTCGCCTGGGCAGGGACTGTGGGCCATGGTGCTCATGTGGCTTGTGTCCTATCTTGAGAGTGAAGTGAGGGGCCAGGGGCTTATTCCTCTGCAGGCAAGAGCCACAAGGAGAAGTCACTGGTCAGCCCCAGGCCTTGAAGCACGTGAAGAAGCCAAAAGTTGTGGGGAGGGAGTTCTCCTGTGCTTTTCTGGGTTCCAAGTGGACTCAAGTGGAAGCCTAGAGTCTTGCCTGTGCTGCAGCCACCTGTGCCCAGGTGAACTGTCTGGGATGTCCATATCAGATCTGCCTGTGTGGCGCAGGTCAACGTCACCTCACCTCTGAAGTAGCCATGCTATCCCATGAACACCAGATGGGCTGCCACAGGGAGCCAAGCAAAACTGGTAGACAAAGTCCCATGGCCTTGGGTGAACTGGTAGGATCTGGCATTAAACCAGTCACGTGATGAGCTAGTGATTAAACCTGGGCCCCACTACTAGTGGTAGTGATGTTAGTGTTAGCATAAATAATTCCACCAGGCCTAGGCCCTCCAGGGTCTCACATACAGTCTTGTGCATAGCAGCACTGTGGCCAGATGGGAACAGGGAACACAGGTGGCAATTAGCAGGGTTGGGACAGAGCTCGGCATCTCCCCCTTACTTTGCTTCACCATCCCAGTCTGTGCCAGAGGCTGTGCATGGTGGAAGAAACAAAGGGTCAGGAAAGGTGTCAAGAAGTGAACACCAGAAACCAGGATGTGAGGCTGTGCAGCCAGCTGATGGGGACATGGGCCCATGCACACTCAAAGACACATATCAAAACAACGCACATGCCCTCATGTCTGCTCGACACATACAACCCAAGAAACATGCACTCATACATGCACACACACACTCCACAACCCAGAAGCAAGAATATGTAGACCCAACACCCAACAGCTCCCACACAGTCTTGTGTAGAAGCACCATGAGTGACAATATTCACTCAAGTTCCCAGTGCTGTCCCCGACAGTCAACCTGATATTAGCTTCCTGGGTTTTGGTTTTTAGGACAATATGTACCTGGAACTAGGG